GCAAGACACTTCATAACATGGATAAACCTGGAGGACATTATGCTGAATGAAATTAGCCAATCACAAAGTGAAAATATTCTATGAGACCAATATTATAAAAAGTTCAAAGATTTTCATGCTAAAAGAAACATTCTATGATGGTTATCAGAGGTGGGAGGGGAAGGAGAATTTTTTAAAAAGGAGAAAAATAATAGAACTAACTTTGGTTATGTGCCGTGGAGTTGGTTCTAACTCATAGTGACCCTGTACAGGGTTTCCGAGGAAAGTCTCATCTTTCTCCTGCGGAACAGCTGGTAGTTTCGAACTGCTGCTGGCCTTGCAGTTCACAGCCCTATTCATAACCACTATGCTAACAGAGTTCCTTAGAACTAACCTTATGTGTCTGTTAAAGGCCAATGTTAGCTGTTTCTCATCATTATGTCTTTTTAAAAGTATATTTGTAACGATTTTAATATTTTTATTTTTATTTAATCATTTCAAGGACTTCCTTAATTGTATAAAAAAGAAAAAGAAAAATATTGGTCAGATATAGTTAAACAAATCTTCATTGATCCTGTCTTAGGTGCTGGTTAAGGGAGACTTGAAGGTAAATATAGTCTCTGCCCACACCTACTTTATTATTTTTTTCTTTTGTTTCAGTTTGTTCTTTTTCTGGTTTCTTAAGGTCAAAGCTGGTATCATTGGTTTGAGATTTTTCTCTTCTAATATAAGTGTTCCCCCACAGAGTTCTGTTTTTCTAATACAGGTAAATCCCACAAATTTTGGTATGTTCTGCTTTCACATTCAAAACAGTTTCCAATTTCCCTTTTAATTTCTTTTTAGATTTGTCAATTATATTGGGGATTTTCCATGTATCTTTATTATTGCTTACTAGAATTCCATTGTGGCTAAAGAATATATGAGTTGAATCCTTTTAAATTTGAAACTTATTTTATGTGCCAGAATATGTTCCTAGAACCCTTGAAAAGACTGAGATTCTGTTGTTGAATGGAGTTTTATAAATGTCAGCCCAATCAAATGAGTTATATTGTTCAAGTCTTCTATATCCTTGCTGATTTTTGTCTGCTTGTTCTATTAATTACTGAGAGACCCCTATTAATTACTCCATGACCCCATCTCTGCCTCCATCTCTGAATAAGGTCCCACATTCTACTTGTGTTCTTCTCCCTTGATGGTCCTAGGGTCCTCTGTTTCTGGGCTGTAAGATTAACTAACTACTCCTCTGTTTTTGTTGCAAAACTTCTACCTTTACAATTTTGACAGTCGCAATTAGTCATGATAACAATTATTCACTATTGAATCGTATGAATCTTATCCCCATCTCTTTTTACTGGACCCATCTAGACAAGATGAAAACTGCTGAGTGGGGACTCTTTCTCCCCCACACACACACTCTATTTTTTTATTTTTTTTTTAAATTTAAGGTTTTTATTGTGGATTGAGTGAAAGTTTACTGGGCACATCATCAGTTTCACATTCAATAATTCATATAACTTGTTGCATTACATTGATTATAATCCCCTCCATATACCATCAGTTAAAAGTATTTCTCTCTATCCACTTTATTTTTTAAAAATACACAAACAAAAAAAAAACCCCATTCAGGCATATATAATAA